CGTCCCTGATTGGATGCAGCCGCTTCAAACGCATTCGAATTGCTCCGAGTTGCATGGCCCTCACGGCCCTCACGGCCCTCACCGCCCTCACGGCCCTCACGGCCCTCACGGCCCTCACCGCCCTCACGGCCCTCACCACCCTCACGGCCCTCACGGCCCTCACCGCCCTCACGGCCCTCACCGCCCTCACGGCCCTCACCGCCCTCACAGCCCTCACGGCCCTCACCGCCCTCACGGCCCTCACGGCCCTCACTCACCCTCACACTCATGAATTTTCCTGGTTCAGAAACTCACTCACCCTCACCTCACCTGTGAAGATGAGGGTGAGTGAGGGTGAGTGAGGGCCCTCATGAGTGAGGTTTGCCGAGGTATGGTCGTAACACTGCACACAGATATTCTTAGAGCGTCCCATTTCAAGCTTCATGTTCGTGGTGCCGTCCATGCCGCGCAGCAACGCCGCCTCAACTCGCGTTGATAGGACGCCGTGCACGGATGCACGAACAAGAAAGTTGCGCAAGAGGCTGCTCCTTGCAATTAAGAAAGCGCCTGACTTGGCCGGACACCAACTTGATCGTCGGCTTTCCCGCTTCTTCAGCATCGCTCCTTGTCGCTTCTTTCGTCTGCTTGCTCGCTCGTTGCACCTACCGTAGAATACCGCGCATCCGCCCATTCCACATTAAAGGGGCCCTGCAATCATATTTAAGCGTCTACCTTTTTTGCGGTTTCTACGTCTCTTAGGGGTCGGGCAAGCCAGCGGGCACGGAGAGAGTAACTAAAAATCAGTGTGTCATATTTTAACCGGACGACACGGAAACCTCCTCCACCGACAAGGGCGACCCGCGGTACCGAAAGCGCGCAAAATGTGACGTCTTTGGTCCAGGGCTTACTACTGGTCAGAGCCGCTAAAAGCTTCTTTTTCGTTGAAACTCAAAATATAAGTGGCGCGAACCGTTTCAATTATTTATAAAAGTAGTTTTTGTTGAGTATTTTAGATCAAAAAAGAGACGAATGCCGCAACATAAAGTACGGAAAGAAGAAATGACCCGTCGACATACCCGCCACCAAGCGGTGGAAAAGGCGGCGCATACTAGAAAAGAGTAGTGGCATCAGGCGCCGACACGGAAAGGTCCCGGATGTACGCAGCGGCGCTCCGGTCGTATGGGCAGGAGGATCCGACCGGCTCCGACCGTTCCGGAGGCCATCGGTGAGAAGGTTTGTCTTGCGGTTTGGCCGTTTCGCGGTATGGCAGCGCAAAGTAGCTCCCGTTCTGAACTGATATTTACCCCGTGTTTGCTGTCGTTTGTGGCCAATGAAGTGTCATGCCGAATTAGTATTTAATCGCGCAGCAAATGCAATGAGAGCCGCTCTGGCTGCCCGCTGCATACAGCCTATCCAGAACACGCTTTAATGGCGCCCTCTCGCGCCGTCGACACGGAGTGCGGCAGCCGTGAGCGCTCGATGAGCTCACTACTTCTTCTCTAGTTCACGGCCACTCTCAAGCAACCAAGGACGTCATGAGGGAGGTTATTTTTTGCTTGTTTTTGTAATTTTAATTTGCCTATAACTTTTAAAATAAAGAGAATTTCCAGAAAAGAAATGTTTCATTAAGTTACTACGTTCAGTGCGCTCAGGTTCGGTGCAAATTAAAAATTAGTAAAAAAGACATTGCAGGGCCCCTTTAAGCGCCCATTCCCAAATTTTTAAGATCTGGGAAAATATGCACAGGTGATTGATATGTAAAATTGATGACCGCACAAGCGCCCATCCCCCATTTTTTCGCGATTATCTTTAAATCTGGAGTGGGCACTTGTCCGGTATTTTACGGTAGTTAATTTTTCAATTTTCTTGCTGACCTTTTTTTACTAGTGAGGAGAACATAGCTACGTTAGAAACATGCTTTCACGAAACAAACGTTAGCTGTGTATGCCGATCGGCGGTGTTCATCACGTGTATGCAAGCATCGGATTTTGCGATAGTAAAACATTTTAGAGAAAATTCCGAGACTGGGGGGAAAAAAGGACAACCTATTGAGACTTTGTGTTGTGTTGTCCTTTTTTCCCCCCAGTCTCACCTCGTATTGGGTTGTCCTTTTTTCCCCCCAGTCTCAGGGTTTTGTCTAAAATGTTAAACCTTCACCAGCTTGTTTGCACCCTAACTTCTTGTTAGTAAAACATTCTTTCATGAGCATTTCTTGCATAGAACAATGAAACTAATTAGAGTTTTGAGTTTAATGTATATTTTGTGCAGCCGCACTAAATACGTACAGAAAAATTTATGTTTTTTGTTTTTTTTTGCGTCTTCTCAACTTTTTGTGCTCACTCACCGAGACATGGTTTACCCCACTTTTCTAATGAATTTTAGGTGGCAGGGAAATGTTACGGCAGTCACTAGATAGCATAAGAGTGGGCGCGGCAGCATAGGGTCACCCCTAAGGTCCCTTTAGTGACTACAGCAGCATACAGCAGCACGGCAGAATCAGCTATGCACGTGGCAGCTGCAACGCATGCGGAGCCAGCTGAACCCTTTTTTTACATCTGTCCGGCACAAAATGGGGGGTGCGTTTCGTTTTGTGCAGCTGTATTCATTTCGCTCAAACTTTGGCATCGCGGGTAGAGTCACAGATTGTTTCCTCGACCGCATATTATCGCTCCAAGGCAGAACAATTTGGGACTTCAATAGAGCAAGTTTGAGAATCTTGGATTTCAACGAAGATTGGCACGTTGATAGAACAAATGCCGAGACAGCATAAAAAAGTTGCGACTGCCAATGTTTTTTTTTATATATACTCTCGTTCGCACGGGTCTTTTCAGATGGTCTGACATACGTGCAAAATAAGGAAACGAGTGCTCGCATTGCCTGGACGGAGCGTTGAAAAAAAAAGAACTGCTCTTGGATTAGAGTGGCACGTACTCAGCGGCATGAGCAAAACAAAAGCAATGAAAGTATGCACAAGCATATGCAATAGCGCGCAGCAAAAACGTGGTGCCACCTTTGTTGCGCTGCTTCCGGCGCCAATGCACCACGCATTCTCAGTTTTTGGTCCAAATAATTCGTTAGTGTGGAACCTTCTGTCTAGATGGCGCTACGTGACTATGTTGCATACAGACTTTCTACGCCAGGGGATAAAGGTGAGTGAGGAGGAGTAGCAAATCTCGTGCACTGACATCTGGAGTCCTGAGTGGAAGAGTGCAACAGAATACCAGAGAAAGAAACCAATGTTGCCAGCTGAAGGAAAACAGTTGAAATGGTAAGCGCGAATACGGAACACTCTCAAGCAAAGTGTACTGTGACAACTTAATGTTATAATCCAAATGTTTAGCTATTTCTATTGCTTGTAAAGAGGTAATGCATTATTACACCGCATTAAATTCCCTTCTGATAGTTTTTTGTATACGCGACAAGCCCTGAAAACCTCAGAAATATGGTGGTTTCCAACCGCAGATAACCATCACGAGCATAGCGCAAAGTCTACTTTAGTTCTGCGTTGACGAAATGCTGTACACCTGCACGCTGCGCAAAAGGAACGCGAATATCCTACCAAGGATAAGTATGCAGCAAAGAAAGTCGTTGGAGGAGGTTTTCATGCAGTTTTGACAACAAACAATGCTGCCGCATTCCTTATGAAAACCGTCAAATCTAGCAAATAAAATGTAAAGCTAGTCGACTGAAGATAGAGTGAGTAGACAGGCGGGCTGGTTTATGTTACACATTCTTTAAAAACTGGAGACGACAGACAAAAAAGGGGACAAGCACAAGACGTTTTGTGTTTGTCTCGTTCGTCGCCTCCGGTATGTTTAAAATGTAAAGCTAGTTGGCAACCATGTGTGGGACTCCAAAGGTCTGCCTCTATGCTGTGCCGCTTGCAGCAGCAGGAATGCATGGAAAAATGGCGGACCTTTTCCTCTAGAGTTTGTATAGAGTAGTCGCGTAGCACCATCTAGGCACAGGGTTACATACTAACAGATTATTTGGACCCAAAACCGAGAACGCTTTGCATGGCAGTGGGGGTGGAGGCGGCGCGGCGGCACTTGCAACTGTTGCCGTTGCAGCAGTATTTCTTTTCTCTATGGCGTCACTTGAGCTACAATTTACGTGAAATTGATTACTTTTCACCTAGAAAATTCGTAATACCGGTCATTTTCGCTTCATGGGGCCACGAAACAACTTCGTTAAACAGAAATATTTGTTAAGCAGGAATTTGTTGTAGTGGTTAGAGAAGCACGTTGAACTCATAGGAGATTGGCTGGGATTTTTATTTTACTTTGTTAAATGGGGTTTTCATAATAGAGGCATTCGTTAGAGCGTTAGAGTGACTTCACAGCGCCAAGCTCTGATTGGAGAATATCATTGGTTGACACAAAGGCCTTTGTATCTGCTCACGGTATCTTCCAACCAGAGTGAGCAAGTTTGTCTCTCCTTGCGCAGAGGGTGCAGCCACACCGAACGTCGGTGCACCAAGCTTTGGCGTTGTCTGCTAGTCGTAGCAGCCTCGGCTTTTCTACAGCTTCTCTAAATTCACTGCTCCTTTGGGAACGAGGACTCAGCCTTCGAGAGAGGGGAAATAAAATAGTTTGCAGGGGACATCGTTTTTGTCAACTACCGACTACCAGACGTGCTGCAATGAACGATGAAGAATGCACGGGCAAGATGTTGTTTGCTACCCAGTGAAGAAAATGATTGTCTGCTGGGTGGTGGAGCTTCGTTGCGCATGAGATCACTTCCTCTCACCTGTTCACGTCCTCCTCTCACATGCGTGGAGAGACTCCTCACGTTTTTGTACTTCTCGTCTTATACGGGATGCGTTATGATAGACTTGCTGGTTTTATACCCTTTTTCGTTGAGTGAAAGCTGCTAATCAGTAGCATTGCATACAGCATTGCATACATTTTTTATTGTTTCGCTACCTTGCTCTATTGGCAGTGCCAGTAAGCAAGGGCACTGTGCTATGACTGGGAATTTTATTTGAATAATGTGACTTTGCTATTTACCCTCTCCTCCAGAGCCAGTAACCAAGGCACTTGTTCAGTTTGAGCAAGCTGCTTCCAGCTTTTATGACAACTACGAAGGCATGAACAAGAACAAGTAAGTAATGATTTCTACCGCATTCAACACTTCACCGGGTGTTTCACCGATCGTCGGTCCAAGTTTTCGGGCAAAATATTTGCGTTTCGCAAAATTAACATTGGTCACTGTCGAGGGGCCTGTTTATTGAGATACAAAACCTCTAGGATAATTCTGTTTTTAATTATCTTTGCGTAATTATCTTTGTTTGAGAGAAAAAACAGATTACCTCTAACTATAAACTTGATTGGGGGAAAATGAACTAAATCAGTTGATCTTGAAAAGATTTCAAGCTTCCTTTTTTTGGGTCTCAGGAATGCATCTAACTTTGATGCACCTGCACAGTTTTCTAGTTTTTTATTATCTGCACTTTCACTCCATCAGCCCTGTAGCACTACACTTCCCACGCACACTATTGAAAATTGACTTACATAGTGGTTTTCAATGACGCTCAGCAAGTTTCCAATCAGAACCATATTTTTACTAATTGAAAAGTTGATTGTGCAAAACTAATGAAGCGCCTGGTAGCCCTAAGAGATACGGATCTCACTAAATTGATCCCCGGCACTGACCAGTAAGGCACTGCAGCAATAAATTGGGCCAGTTGGTAAACGTGATACACGGTGGGAACGAACAGTTCAATGAATGCGGACTAAGAAAAGACGCACACGGGACACTGCCGTCGTGTATCTCGGTGCACACGCACAAAGTTCTCGTAACTCAGGCAGCATACGGTTGCGGCGAGCCCATTTTATGGCGATAGCTGTTAGAGGCTCTTCCCACCTTGGAAACAACATCCGTTGTAGTCGTAATAGTAGCCGTCTTAGTAGGGCATCCATCGTCGACATTGCCAAAGGCTCAAAAAAGATAGCACCCCCTGCCACGGCGTTCTCAGGATTCCATCCTGGATCTACCACCGCGTGTGAAGTGGGCGCGTTAAGAGAGCTGCGGCACAACTCGTAGAATCTGCTTTATCGGCATTCGATAAATACGGCGGGTACGAATCCCGCGCGGCGCCCGCTAGATGGCCACTGTTGCTGGGACGTCGCAATAGAAAATTTTGTATTGATTCTAATCATTTCCAAGTTTGATCGGAGTTAATTGCTATAGTTAGGTGGCGTGAGCCGCCTCTCGATTAAAAGGGTTTAGCCGTCCTTATTTTCGCCTCGTGCCAGTTGTCAGGTCGCCAGCTAGAAGACGCTAGTAGATCCAGGCAGCGCCAATCAGCTCGCATAAAGGGCGCCACCAGCGCACCTTGCGGTGTCTCGCAAAGAGCGCGGCGCTGTTGATGCCAGGACGGCCGCGTCAGCTGCTTCGCGGCAAGGCGTGTTTGTCACTTGGGGCAGGATCCACTAACAACCGTCATTAAGAAAGTTTGCCGTCGAGACTCCACGGTGCATGAACACAACACTGATACCCATCAACTTTGTTTTTTTTATTCTGTGCTCATATTTCAGGCACGAAAATCTTTGAACTGTTTGCATCCAACGTGATTTGCGTACAATTATCTGGGAGGGAGCTCCAAGGGTCAGATAAATCGGGGTTATTTTTGTTTGGCCAAATACTCGCCAAGTCTTTTAATTTAGTCTAAATGTTTCGTACCATGCGTACAGAGCATTTGGCCATTAAATTGCTTGCATTCATTCCGCACTTTTTCGGTTGACAGGATGTGAAGAGTTAGATTAGCTTAGTTCAAAGACTACTTTCACTGTGTCAACAAGTTTCTGGGATGTGTTAAGCTGTCCATCCTCCTACTATGCCCTTTAAAGGGCAACTTCGGCAAAAAACGAAGCCAGAATAAATGGCTGGTATCGCTTTAGTGACACAAAATATGATCTCAATCAAAATATCACGTCAAAGTGAAGGCGCGCACCCCTCTAAATTCAATTTTAAAGATACGACCAGCTGTTTTTAGCAGGTGGCATGTGGGTTAGCTTTAAGCCGAGGAACACTGATGCAACACCCTTGCGACGTCACGTCGCGGCCTTATGGCCGACGATCAGCGTTGCCATCCCTCTAGGAGATAGTTTGAGTTTTGCCGCGTATGCCTGGAACCAAACTTTGAGCCGCGACATTTATAAAACTATGCGCAATATCGAGAAAAAAAAAATTATACCTCGTTATTGAGAGACATTTCTTTAGCGGAAAACAGTCATAATCCCAAATTAAAAAATATCGACCGGAGTTTAATGGGGGACACTACGCAAAAACGTGAATGTTTGAACCACTTGTCTGTTTTAAATGGCATTTCCAGGGCTTGTTTCTGTTGATGTTGAGAACATTTCTGCCGAGTTTTGTTAACCTGGGTGAAGTACAAAAAAAATGGCAATGTTCATGAATGAAAGTGGGCGTGTCTGCATTGAAAAACTATCGTTTTGAAATTACATTTAAATTGGTCATTTTCATGCATTATATTGCTTTAGGACAGTTCAGAGCAGATAGGTATGGAGCTGTTTCTATATTATACCTTCTTTCATGACCAAAAAGCCGCATAAACACAAATACAGTTTTATAGATTTCCATCCTTTGTCCAAAATTTTATTATGAAATAAGTTTACAGTGTAAACTTATTTCATTATGACTACCCCTGGCTTTTGGAACATATTTGCACCCAATATTTTAGTTCTTAAGCATGAAAAATAACAAGAATAACAAATACAAGCCCATAGCTATCTTCCCCTTAAAATTTCACCCCAGAAAAACTCATAAAATGAATCCAGGTTACGTAATAACAAAACGATAGTTTTCGTATAGTGAAATTTATGCCAAAAAGTGGAATGGAGAAAAATGCATTCAAAGTAACCTCCACCTTTTCTTTAGCATCGGTAGACCGAAAATAATTTATAAAAAATTAACTATGCAGTGTAAACTAATAAAACTTTCTGGGAATCCTCTCTAGATGTTGGTGGATATAAATATGACATTTTTCAAAATCAACTTTTTTTACAGAAATTATGTTTTCTGGTTAGTGTCCCCCCTTAAATGACGTGCACGGTTGCAGTAATAATCGACGTTCCTAGCAGTACCGTTGCACACTTCAACCAGCCATCCAGGCCCAGCATTTACTCGGAATGAGCAGCCTCTCGTCAAAATGCCGTCTTTATTTACAATCTTTTCTTCTTTCTCCGTCAAAGCCCAATTAATGCTACATTGGATTCTTGGGATTTCCAATCTGCTCGTCAATCGTCCGTCTAGCTGGAGCAAGTAGGCACTCCCGAAGTTGCCCTAGTTCGTCATCCGGTGTTGGTCAGGCGTTTGGATTCCGAGCGAGGGACTGAAGGTCTGCCTCTCTGCAGTCTGCTGCTGGCCCTGCAGGAGTACAACGACCGGCTGGTGCAACTCGAGCGAGCTTTCCTGCTGCCCTCCGGCTACCCACACCACCCCCACTTCAGGTAGCTGCCCGTTGCGTCACTTGCAGCTTTGCCACCCTTCGGTTGATTGGAGTCCTCCCGGGGTGCTTCCAAACCAGGCTATTGTCAGAGTATGCCGTGAATTAGGCATGGCGCAAACTCTCCGTAAGATATTGGGCAAGCGCCCTCCCTAAAGTAGGAGACAGTCACGAAAGGGGCTTTGTAGGTCTGAGAGCAGAAAACCAGAAGAGGCACAAAGTAGAGTACGCTGTTGTTTGGTCCTATAGAATGGCATAGATGCTGGACTCTGGCGGAACCCCTCATTTTTAAAGTAGCTGCGTCACTCTCGTCGCACCTGCTTTGTGCCAGAGCTCTCGTGTCAAGCTTTACCGCTTCGCACCGACGCATGCGCATAAAGCTTTACCTTTTTACACCTGCTTCTCGGAAAAGCTGCTAATGCGAGAAGCACGTCGCTCGTTTCGGAGGGCTCGGACGTTTGCCGAGGTGGGCACCCGATATGCCCGCCGCCTATATTTCGGATTTTTCAAATGTAGGGGAGGGCACTTACTGCATCATGGGCGCAAGCTCGGTATTTCACGGTATATCAAATCTCAGATTTTATGTCAAACCGCAAGTTTCGGCTGGTTCGGCAAACCTTCGAATGCTTAGCAAAATTCGACAAAGCTCAACTTTTCTAACAGTATTTTTTGGAACTTCTAGAGCAAAATTTTACATTTCTCAAAAAATAATTTATAGTTATAATGCAATTAAATGCAAAGGTGCAAGTCAGCTGGACAAGAACGACGAAAATAATCCCTGGAGAAAGGGAACAAGAGGCACAAAGGACAAACACAAATCTCCAAACACAGCTAAGTGACTGGTGCGCGGCCGAAAAAATCCGCCTGATCCGGGTATCGAACCCGGGACGTCTACTGATGTCTAAACCCTGGTGAGCTCAGTTGGTAGAGCGTTCCAGTGGAAATGGAGAGGTCCTGGGTTCGATACCCGGACCAGGTAGATTTTTTTGGTCGTGCACCAGTCACCAAGCTGTGTTTGGAGATTTGTGTTTGTTCTTTGTGCCTCTTGTTCCCCTTCTCCAGGGATTATTTTGAAAGATTAATTACCAGTGTTTGCAGAATATCAAAGTGAGCATACAGAGTTATAATTATTTGTTTGGTAATGTAAAACAATATTTCTAACAAACGTTGCTCCCCTTTTGCCTCATGGAACTGGCCCGTTTTTAGTTTTGGCACGTGCATATTAATAGTCGAACTCTAGTCAAACTTTTGTCGAACTTTTGTCAAACTTTAGTCACATTTCACGTTAAAAGCTTGAAAAGAATGGCCTGGCCGAACTCGAATGCGACATCTCTACTGTGAATATCTAATTGTTGTTACGCAGGTTGTGGTTAAGAGATCCGCAACATAACCTTTGACAAGCGCTCGAGCGTCGGATGTGGTAAGGTAGAACTCGGACATCTTGTAAAGTGAGTGTTCCCACTTCTAGGACCTGTTTTGGTTGTTTTTTTTTACCGAAGATTGGTTGAAATATTGGTATTCAAGGGTTATACTGCAGGCACTGTCAACACATAGAGTGTTGGAAGACTCGGTTAGACGGTGCTGGAATATAAAGTGCCGGAGCATAAATTCTAAGGAGTCTCGTCTTTTTGGAGCTAATCGAAAGTCACTAGATGGGTCTGTCAGATGACACCCGCGCACTGTGCTTTGGTTACATCTATTCTTTCAATCATGGTTAAGCCAAGCGCCGTTCGAATTGGCCAACGGGCTCGCATCAAGGTAACCATATTTGACCTTGGTTTTAAGTTTTATGCAAAGAAGCTAGTGGAATCTAAAGAACCCTAAAACAAGCAAAATACCTCGGTGGCTCATTCATTTCATTGCGTTCAGGATTGCCGCACATCCTTGCCAGCCAGGCCACATCGGTTCACCTATAGAAAGTACATACAGAAAGCAGCTTACAAGATGTGGGCCAAGATCCCTTCTCTATAATGCGGGAGAGTTGTTTCGCATGTTTTGCTCGTAAACAAATGCCTGGCCATTGGTGCTGCACTCCCTCTTATCTGAACGTGGGCTGCACATAAGGCCGTAAGTGCAAAATCCTCACCTTTATTATCACCTATTGCTGCACAATTGCAAGGGCTGCGTGCTCGGTCTTGTAGCAGAATTTGCAATATTAAGGTGAGGTGGAGTACAAAAGGCTACCGAGCAGTGACTCGGAGGCAGTCTCTCAACAAGAGTAAAGGCCCGTTCACACTCTTGCGACCTCTTAAAACTGGGTTCCTTAAAACATCTTACAACGAGAGGACACACTGGCACGACCTATTGGGTAGCAGTGGAAACTTGGCGGTCCGGCGTATTTTCTATTTCTCTCGCGCATTATCCTTTCTTTCTTGGCCCGAAAAACTTTTGTCAGCGTTATAAACGAGTTTTCTTACAGGTATTACGCACATTTGACCTCGGAAATCCCGCAAAGCCTTCGCTCTTGTGAAATGCAGTTTCAGGGTCACCGCATAGATGGCGCCAGAATGCCAGTGTGTTCCCTCGTCCTGAGAAATTTTAACAAGTTTTAACAGATCTCGTCTCTCTCGGTCGTACTCGGTTGCAAGAGTGTGAACGGGCCTTATCTCAACAGACGCGCACACTTTCGTAGTTTTTGAACGGTTTTTATTTGGTCCTACAGATTTCTTTTGTCAGCCCTTCTGAGGTTCTATAGTATGTATGCTGGTCGAGCGTGATAGGTGGAGCTCTTATGGGCGCTCGCTGCCTCAGGCGTGTCATTGACAGCACTGAGCCAGGAAATGCGCACCGTTAAAACGTGACACACTAACGAAAAACGGGCAGTACTTGCGGCAAAGCCTTTGAGTTTGATTGACTGCCTTGCCACCACCTCTTACGACGAGAGAGCACCTTGGCCCCACCTGTCGGGCAGCCCTGGAATGCTTCCGACCTGCTTTCGCCGTGTGCTCGACATTCACAGTGTTGTAAGCGACCACTTCTCGTAGTGGTCGCAGGCGGTTGCAACGCGGTCGCATACTTGAGCGCGAATCTGGCCGTATTTTAACGCAGAACGTGTTTTACGAGTCATCTTCTACAAGCAGACAGTGGTGATGGAGCATCAGAAACGACGGTATGTGTCGTGAACAAGTGACACGCTGGGAGCGTTAAGGTTATATATACCGTAATATCCCGAGTCATCGCACATCCCCGAGTCATCGCCCACCCCACTTTTTGGGCCAATATCGATTTCCAAAAAAACACAGACCCACCCCTTCGAATACCCCAACGCTGACTCCGCGATCTGCGAACATTCATCCTACCCAAATGATGCGGCTGCAGACCTTACGGTTGGAGGTGTCCGTGGCAAAGTAAAACGAAGGAGAGGTAGACACTTCTCTTTGTTTAGGCATTTCCTCCGCGAGCGACCTTGAAGTCATAGTGTATCCGTGCGAAAAGAAAACAATGGAGATAACAGAATGGAAGTTTGTTTTGCTTACAAAAAAGATTGTCTCGAGAAAAAAAAAAAAAGTCGGAAAGATAACACAAGCAGTAACCCATTCAGGAGTAGCGAGGTAAGCGAACGCCCCATATCTTGGATTGTAACCATGGAGTGTAAGATCAAAATCTGTCTCCGCCGAACTAAGGTCGCTGCGAACCTGCTTGTTCTCCCGACACGTCGCGGTTTTTCAATGTTTAAGACAAAGCTAAGAGGTAAATAAAGCTTTGCTGAACTGACACACACAAACGTTTGTTGAGCGTCCCATTTCGAGCTCTGTGTTTGTGGTGCCGTCCACGCCATGCAGAAACGCCACCTTAACCCACGGTGATAGCACGCCGTGCACAAACGCACGCATGTATGCACCAAACAAGGAAGTTGCCCAAGAGCTTGCGATTCACAAGGCGCCCGACTTGGCCCGACGCAGCAAGTATTTGCCGATGTGACTGTTAAAGAAAACAATACGGGGAAAGAGGGCGTTGTCAAGCTTATTTTAATCTGAAATTATTTATGCATACTGTCGCTCTTCACTGCATAAAAGATCACGTAGATGGTCATTGTCGGAAACTCGTTGTCAGAAGTTACTAGTCGTCACATGCTTAGTGGTTCGGAAGTTCAAAGCTATGTCTTTTCCACCTAAATAACTGTGCCATTGGTAAAAAAAAAATTAAACATAAGAATCAATGCAAAAATAAAAAGCTGGAGAAAAAACAAAACTATCAAGAATTTGCTGGAAGTGTTGTATTCTTGCATATTCATAGGCTCAGAACTTCGAAACAAGCTTTTCCTACCAAAATGTGTACAGGCTAAAAGAAACACGTCCCAAAAACGTGACGTAAGGAAAAAGAAATTAAATATGGCTTTTTTTTTAATGACGCACTGAACTTGAACAATATTAGAAATCTTCCCCATGAGTTAATTTATTCCTCAATGTAAAAAAACAATAAATACATTATTTTGTATTCTGCAGATGCCAATAATATGTGCTGTCTGTGGTGTTAATTTAAATGCAATAGTACTTTAAACAATTTAGACGAAAGAAATTACCGGGCATAATTGCCCGTAGATTCATGTTTGGACATTTCTTCGAAACTCATCTTGAACAACAATAATCACATCTCAAGACGACACTTACCTAGGCTATACATAGACTATTCTTAAAAAGTTTAACATCTCTACCATAAATACCTTCGGCTATAGCAAGCTTCAAATATGGCACAAACAACAATCGTCAAAAACCCGTCGTCCTTCCTCGCTCCTTCAGGAATTTATTTAAAACTGAGCATGCCAGAACGTGCCAGAACATTAAGATTAACGGCATGGTCTTCCGCAAAAGATGTGGCACCGCATGTAAAAATTCGAAAAAAAAAAAAAGAAAAAAAAACATTACGAATGTACCTCACTGCTTGAATCCAAATGAAACCGCCCACCAGCCTTTTGAAGTTCGACGAACTTTGAACTTTTACCGTAAAAGTTTGAAGTTCGTCGAACTTTTGACTTTACAGAAATCGAAAGTTCAAAAATTTTAGAATTCTATAGATAAATAAGTTCGAAAATTATTTAATTTCTTAGTGTAGGAAGTTCGAAAAGCTTCAAACTTTTTAGTGCAAGAAATTCGAAAATCATCAAATTTTTTAGTCTATCAAGTTCGAAAGTTCGACAAGTATCAAACTTTGCAGCGTAATAAGTTTGAAAAGGATCGAATTTTGTAGCGTAATAAGTTTGAAGGTTTGAAAAACATTGCATTTCTGAACGTGCAAAGTTCGAAATTTCGAAAAGCGTCGAACTGTTTAATTTAACAACTTTGAAAATTTCGACTTCCATCGACTTTTTCGATATAGAAAGTTTGAATATTCGAAATCTTTCGAACCGCTTGATTCAATCATTGAAACTTCAGTTTGAAAAAAGTTTGCGGCATCCCTACTTCTAACTTAAAATCTGGTCCTCCATTGACTCGGATGCAGACCATGTATGACAAGAGTTTTAACATTGACGTGGACTTTTTCACTACCCTCGCATGTTTTTTTAAAAAAAGTAATACTGAGGCTCACTTTCTAGTGTGAAATTATTTTAGTCCAATTGTCTTCCACTTTGTGCAGGTATAACCCTCCTAAGGCCTTACCGGCTGTTTGGGTCACAATAAAACACAAATCAATCGATTGATTGAGATTTCTTTTTTTCCTTTCTGGTTGGTGGTTGTAAAAGAAGGATTAATTATAGCACACTTTTTGTTTTCCACCCCAGGCACGTGATCTATGGGCCGAGCAGTGACGGCAGCTACCAGGGTGTCCTGTTCCCGCACCTGACGGCAGCCATCGAGGACGCCAAGCGAGACAATCACTCGCCCGGCTGGAACCAAGTGCGCGAGTCTCTGTCCTACGTCGTGCACGCGCTCCGCTCGGCTGCCAACGTGCTCAACAGCACCGTCTTGACCAAGCACGACACGCACTGAGCCGCTCTCCTCCCCGCCGCACTCGGAAACGACAGATGTAGAAGAGTGGGCCGGGAGCAAGCTTTGCCAGAAAGACGAAAGCCCTCGCGGCATCTTTTGTTCAAAGCACCTCCTCGCTCGTTTCACCTTATGTGCGAGCGAATCTACAGGCGCTCTAACGTGTTGACCCGAAAAATTCTTGGCAGGGTCGCTGAAAGGCCGGGGTATCGCTCTTGTAGCTTCTGCCAGGGACTATGAAATGCAGTATTTACCGCGGTTCCTCGGGATGTGAGGTTTTCTGGCATCACTTTCGTGTAAAGCTACCCTTATCACGTTCGTTGCATGCTCCAGCCAAGCTTCATAAAGCTTGCAAATGGCTTGGGATGGGCAGAAAGTGTCCTAGAAGCTTCTGCAGCAACCTTCCGACGCGCGCGTCGGGACAAAATCTACCATCCCAGTCGGGGCAGGTTGTTATCGCAAAAGACACGGTTTGGCTCCCATTACCCCTTGAGGAAGAAAACAGCCATTTCTCAAATTCGCAAGTGGATAACTTACCTGTCTTAGTCTTACAAAAGTAAACAAGCAGGACATGGAAGTTTGGATCATACCTTTTGGCAAAGCCCTAGCGACTCAGTTGTCTCAACTTTGCTTTCGTGCTGGCAGCCTCTCAAACGTGCAACATTAAAGGGACACTACAACGAAATTCCGGCGCTTCTTTCTTGGTCTATACGCATTCGAGGGAGCAGTTTCACATCGGACACACCAATCTCTCGTTGAAAAAGACGCAAAAAGGAATTTTAAAACGAATTAAACGACTAGCAAATGGCACCTGGTGGATGTCCGTCTAGGAACATTGACAGGTGGTGACGACCGAACTTGCCTGGACATTGCTAGGGCATCCTGTCGACGTCAACTTTGCTCGTCCCAAGGGGGGCTACGTCACAATTGCGCCAGATGTCACTTGCTCGCCGCTGGCTGCTCTCCGAGCGCTTGCTGGAGTGGGCCGTTTATAACAAAAAAAACAGCTATCAGGCTCAACATGCAGACGTGTGATTGTCATTTACGGATATCGTGGATCATATTCAGCATATTTCTGAGCACGACGGGTGCATTTCAACTTTCGTTGAAGTATCCCTTTAAGCTTGCAAGAGTTAAATTTTAGGATACCTAGAACGTTTAGTGCTCTCCTCAAAATGTTAGTCTATTTGAGGGAATGTGCATCCATACATAATGCTAAGTTTGAAGTGCCTGTCGGGCATTTTTTTAGTTTTGTTTTGGCATGGCGACAGCACTGCCAGTTGTGAGGACGAAAGTTTATGAAGCATTCTGAAGAACTTTCGTGAACCGAGGATTTGGCGGATCACCCCGTCATCATTGTTGATCTTGGCAAGGCTGGGGCATTGGTGGTGCCATAGGCCTTGCAAAGTATGGGTCTATGTATTCAATATATTTTTATTCTGTCATGTTATGTAACATTCCAAGCAATTTTACTTGCGGTGGCAGTGTGCAGCTCACTGCCCTGTGATTTATTGACCATAGATGCAGGAAACAGCACTTGGATATTTCCAGTCTGTTTGGGTGCAATACACTAACTTTCTTTAAGACATGTTTTGTCAGCTGTGGCTTTTTACACTACATCTGAGTGAAAAACCATCTGGCGCATTATCTCATTGTGTTCCACATTTATTTTATTTTTTACCCCCCTTCATTCGTGAATTAACAGATATTTGCTCGTCAACTGTGTCAGTCGTAACCTGGAATTTCGAGACTGTCGGCGGTGCAGTACCTTCTTAGTGTCGATCAGCCATTGCAGTCTCTCAGTGTGAAAAAGGATCGTATTTTGTTTTTATTTTTTTCCTAGGACAAATGCACAGTTTAGATATTTAGGCAACCTTCTTTTCTAGCTAGGTAAAGTGATTGTGTTAGCCTGTCCGTGCTGACTGTTGATTATCTTAGGTCGCACGGAGCTTACCAGCATGTGTACGACCCCTTCTCAATGAGATTGCAACTCTTTGCACCCTGCTGCTGTTGAGGGCGATGGAGTGAACACTCGGCAATACGATGGCTCAAGCAAACGGACAACTGGAAATGGCATTCCTGCTCACAGCCTGGTTGTTGAACTTGTTGCAAACATTAATACTGCCCGCTTGGGTCGCAGTGCAGACTGTGCACATGTTTTCAATGTCCGTGCCACCTCACGATACAAGTGTCTTGCACACTTTTTTTCCCCCTGTGTGTGCCCCTGATTGTCAATCGTTAATGCACGCACAAATGTCCTAATATGCACTCTAGGAAGGCGCCTCAAAAGTTCATCCCATGTTATGTGGCACCATTCCACCGCAGTCGGATACTCAAATGTTGTACGTTGATGTTGGTTCATATTATAAGCAGCATATTCCCGTCAAGGACCTCTACGGCCCAAGTACGTCTGCATACGGCTTGGTAAAAGTGCCGAACCGAGTGAAGATGTCGGCGTCTTTGCATGTCCCGTTAAACGTACGAAGGCTTCGTCCTGTCTTTCAGGGTGTTGGTGCAATGACTATCATGTTTGCTAATTTTCCAGTGATTTTCATGTTAACACAACTTCATTTCTTTTCTAGAGCTTTCCAAAAAGAGTTGTCTATACAGCCTCTGCTTATTCATCAAGATAAGCTACGGCTCTCAATGAACTCAGAATCTCACGAATGTGCTGAAGCATTCTGTTGGTTGTATAGAAAAATGTTGCTTTCCAGAATAAGTGTTTAAAGGGGCGATGCAACAATTTTTGTACTTTGCGCAAATACCGCTTAGAACGGATCCCTGACATTAATGACCTATGAAACATGCGTTCGTTTTTCACCCCACATAATAGAAGTCCCAGAAAAAAATTAAAGAAAAACGAGCAGCATTCACCCCCTCAACTCGCAGCCAGAACAAGCGGCCACGTGACCTGGAGCCGATAATATGCCGACAATGTTGATCATAAACACACGCTGGGGTTGGCAAAGCACAGGGCACGCGCTGAGTTCCAGATATTGTTATGGCTCGGCTATTGTCGTTGCAGCGATTGGACACGGGCCACTACCCGAATGCTTCTCGAGCTAGTAATTATCACGAGCCCAAATCGAGTGCCCAAGCAATGCTCGGGTCCAATCTATGAACAGCATTCAAATATTGTCATATGGGTGTACTGCGATCCCCACGTTACGTCATGAAATTTTGCAAAAGAGAGATTGAATGAAAATGTTCGTTTTTGTCCTTGAAGTACACCGCAACAAAGGAGTTTCTTGGCCAGTGGCGTTGCGTGCAAGTATCCTCGAGTCCCACTAGTGCCAGTAAGCTCGTGTATAGTGAAAAACATTCCTGTTGGATATCGTTGCACCGCCCCTTTAAAAAAAACAGTAGTCGATTAATGCTAGACACTGCATCCCCATGCCTATGCACTCTTAATTGCTATCAAGAAAAGTGCTCGCATTTCGTTCGAGACTCTGCTCGTGTACTATACCTGAGTTAAGGGTAAAAAGGTAGTTCAGTATCTTTTTTTGTATGCGAAAGCATTAACTGTCCCATGGACTGAAGCTGGCATTGTCTGTATCAGTGAAAAACGGCACCTAAATTCCCATCGGCTGAGTGAAATGGCACCTGAATTCCCATTGCGTGAGCGAAACGGCACCTAAATCCCCATTGGCTGCGACGCGTCATGTGGCTCCATAGCAACGGCGCCATCATTGCTAAGGGATTAGCTGAACTGCTGGCGGCGCAGCTGGAGGGGGGGGACACGGGTATGCGCTGCCCTGTTGTTAGGCCTAATGTTACGTTCTAAAGTCTAACGTTGTCAACCGGTACCCGTAGCTAGGTCGATGATGATGAGAGGCCACGCGATTCTAGTATGTGCCGGGCCGAGCTTTGCGCTCCCGCCGCTGCCTCACCTAGCGGTGCAGCAGTCGCCAGCAAACCGGGCGGTCTGTGCGGCACATTGCCGCACACCCTGCTGGTGCTGAGAATGCTTTTGCATTCACAGCTCGTAAGTGCTTAGGTGTCTTCGGAATTTTTTGCTTTTTACGTTTTATTTTTTTCGATCTCTGCCTTTATGCTGGATGTGGTCAAGCAGCTACTCTTTTGTGATACCACCATTTGTATGAAACTTGACATGTGCTTTTTTGTGCGTGTCATTAACACATAGACTTCTAGTCTTATTTATGTACAAGGGTCCGTGTAGAGAATGTAATATTTTATTTACATAAAATCTGTTGTTTCTTTTGTAACAGTGTGTTTCATGATTCAAAAAAAAACCCGAGACTGCAAGTAACGACACACTCTTCAAAAACCCCAAGACCTTTGAGTGTGTGTGTCGTTACCTGCAGTCGCGGGGTTTTTGAATTATGTTTGATGTACACCAGCTCGTTTGTGCCCTAACATTTATTTCATTATTTCACAGTTCTTTTCATATTCTTCTTTGCTGTTGGGAAAAAAATTGCATGGGCGATGTTACGGCAGCGAGTGTACAGCGAGGGAAATATGTATCAATAAAACATTATTGTCATAAATATGCTCTCTCTGCCATTCTTTTTAGAGCGCAGCTCTTAGGCGCCCGTTTCCGGTTTGAGCGGCGTCGCAGTCGGCGTCAGCGTAACCGTGAGGTTATGTGACCCCCCCCCCCCGAGGTCACGTGACCCCGGGTAGGAGGGGGTGGAGGGGAGGAGGAGGAGTAGCAGGCAGGATCATGAGGTAAAGAGGAGGGAGGAAGGGCATACCCTCCCCTCAGTACCCCTCCCTCCTCTTCCTCAAGAGCTGCGCTCTAATTCGGCGTTACAGGGACTTGTAAACGGCTTTAATTTTTTTTCTATAAATTACTAGATATTTTGACTGGGCACAACATTGCAAACAATTTCGTAACTACTAAAAAAAAAAAAAGTGTATATGCCTGAACATGATTGTAAACCTGAGACTGGGGCAGAAAAGAGAACACAACAGAAGGTAGAAAAAGAGGAGGCAACGTCTCAAACTCAGCTGCAAAGTTTATTTCGTACACGCTTTATATACCACATCTCCAACCTCTACAAAAAAAAAAAAAAAAAAAAAGACATGACAAGAGGACAATGACACTTGGGTAAACCTTCTCTTATCTCCCTTGACCTCGACTGTGAGACACTCACACAGAGGGTCACATTCTAGCATAACCACCGCCACCCGGCGAACGTAGGTGAAATCACTACTGAACGCAAAGAAAGGGTTTGACCTTCAAAGGTGTGTTTCCTCTAACAACTCATGTGTTCAGTAGCGATTTCACCTACGTTCGTTGGGTGGCGGTGGTTATGCTAGAATGTGACCCTTTGTGTGAGTGTCTCACAGCCGAGGTCAAGGGAGATAAGAGAAGGTTCACCCAAGTGTCATTGTCCTCTTGTCATTTTTTTTTTTTTTTTGTAGAGACGGTTGGAGATGGGTGGTATATAAAGCGTGTACGAAATAAACTTTGCAGCTGAGTTTGAGACGTTGCCTCCTCTTTTTCTACCTTCTGTTGTGTTCTCTTTTCTGCCCCAGTCTCAGGTTTACAATCATGTTCAACTTACACCAGCTTGCCTGCACTCTATTTTTTTGTATATGCCTATTGGGCTTTGGTAAACTTTTTTACAAAGATATTTTAACAAAATGTAGCCATGCCTCAACAAGCACATCCTATTTTGAACTAAACAAACTGCACTAATTCTAGTTCGAAAAATGTAGCTCCAAGCAAATCTCGAAAGAAAACGAGGCAGATTTCTGCCGAATATATTTACTTTCATGCGCTAATTCTACATTCCGGGTGCACAAATCAGGAAAGTGGAATATGCCTATCATTGTTCTTGACCAATGCTTCCCCATGACAACCATTGCTCACTCACAATTAACTTTGAGAAATACTCGACAAAATGTGTGTTTGTAGAAGAAAATCAATGTCGCTGCCAACGAGCTCGGTCGTTGCCCTCCGACGGCGGTAGCACCCAAGGTAACACCAGTAACCAAGGAGGATAGAAGGGTAGGAGAGGGCATGATCGCTGCCGCGTAGCCTCCACAGGGCATGCTTCCTTGACGCCTCGCCTCGTCTTCATTTTCCTCCTTACTCTCCTCACTTATCAAGCCAACGTGACCACATCACGTGACCGTAGCTAGCCTTCGTCTAGCCTTCGATCTGATAAAACCTACCGGACAGAGCGCGCGCAAGCCTGCAAGGAGTCCTTCTACAATCGACCATCCATCTCACACGTGACATGTCACGCGCACCAATTGCCAGAGAGATCTACGGTCACGTTGGCCACAACATTGTTTAAACTTTTTATGACTAGGCTTCACTAATGGGCGCGTTCAGTAGCGGCTCCAGGAGTCAAGGAGTCAGCGCTCCTTCCACTAGACGGCAAAAACCGACTTCCGGTGCACGTTACTTTGCGGAGACGGTGCATGAGGAGTGAAAGGAGCGCAACACGACGTAATTCCGGATTGCTGACGAAGTTCCAACCACATTCCAACGCTAAAAGAGAAAAAAAAAATGGCGGGACAAGTTGCGTCGGTTGTGTCGCGGGTGTGTGGTAAGACGAATAAGGTAAGACTCAAGGTAAGACAAATAACGCATTTTAATTTCTTTTTCAGGTAAGGCTGTTTCGGAAAATGCATTGGACCGTTTTTTGTTCGGTTTGAATATGCTAATAAACGATGTAAACGTTCATCTGACGCCGTGTCTTGATCGCCGTTGCACGGAAGCTCGGTGAATATCGCCGATAGTCCTGATTATGATGCAATTAAATGCAAAGGTGCAAGCGAGCTCGACAATAATGACGAAAATAATCCCTGAAGAAGGGGACAAGAGGGACAAAGGACAAACACGAATCTCCAAACACAACTAGGTGACTGGCACGCGACCAAAAAAATCCGCCTTGTTGGTGTTAGACTGGTGGCGGCTGATAAAACCCGTTTGCTCTACTGATGTCTAAAGGCCTGTTCACACTCTTGCGACCTCTTAAAACTTGGTTCCATAAAACTAGGGGTGTCGCGAACTTTTGTCGAACCAGATTTTTTGGTCGAACTTTCGGGGTTCGACTGGGTCGAACCGGTTCGACGAACCTTCGAACTTTTAACCAGATTCGACCGGTTCGACCAAGGAGGTTAGAAGTACTAGGAGGGGGCACGTTGCAATATTGGTGAAGCCTAGTCATAAAAAGTTTAAACGATTTTGTGCCCAGCGTGACCGCAGATCTGTCTGCCGATTGGTGCGCGTGACATGTCACGTGTGAGATGGATGGTTGATGGTAGCAGGACTCCTTGCAGGCTTGCGCGCGCTCCGTCCGGTAGGTTTTATCAGATCGAAGGCTAGACTGTGGTGTATTCTAGTACCCCATGGCAGCGAGCGCCTATCCAGAGATCTGCCCGTGCCTAGATCTGGGGACAACGCCAGCGTAGGGAAAACCGCTCGTAGGGAATCCGTTCGCGTAGTGGTGATGATGATGATAATCATGTCATATAACACCTGAGACTGTGGTCGAAGAAATTAGAAACCTTTTAGTAGAAGGATCAGACACTAAAAGGGACGTCTCAAACTCAGCTAACTGGTTTATTTCTCGACTATCCTATATCATGATTGACTTGCCCACTGGCGCCACCCTGGCCTCGCTGTTTTCAACGGTTCTCAGGTTGCCGGAGCGGCGTGTTTGAACTGTTTGAACCACAGGTTTGAACCACAGGCACCACAGGTTTGAACTGTTTCAACGGGAGTCATGGCAAAACGGACGGAGTAGCACTGCGTGGCCTCGCAATCCCAGCGACCCGACGACCCGACGAGCTCGCAAAGCGGTGCTCGGAAGACGACCCTCCCAAAGCCGACGACGCGCACTCACCTCTGTGGACAGCGAAGAAACATCGTCGCACTGTGACAACGGCGACTAGTACACGGCATTTATTTTTTGTTGGCGTTCGTTTCATAAAACCCGTCTATAAGGTATGTGTTCAATCTTCATTATTTTACCTGCGCGGTAGAACCGGCCAATATCTGAAAGCTAAATCAGCCTGCGCGTTAGAATCGTGAAAACACGGCAAAGCGAATCTGCTGCGTCCTCAACCCCTTTTACCATGACACAGGATGTCGTAGCAGAGTCTTGCGTGTTTATCGCATCATAAAACGCAAATATGCCGTGTCCGCAATCCGCGGTATCAGTTCCCGTTTTATGTGGTTTGTAGCGGATAGCCCAGTTGCTTATCGCGTTTTTTAAAATAAATTTTTGCTGTCGCATTTCCAAAGATAGCCCACCCCATGTTTTTCCCAATTTATCTCTTCATTTTGGTTGGACATCCTTACGGGATTTTACGGTAGTTTTGCTTTGTCCTCTGCATAAGTCAATGTCCTTTCCACTTTTCAGGAGCTTGTGACCACCCTCAAAGGCTTGACGAGCTATGTGCTCGTATTCAAGTTGGTGCCACACGGTGGGCCTTTCGGGCATGCCAGGGAGGATGAGAGGCTGTCCCTGAACCGCCTACTAGTACAAAAAGGTGTTGCCCTCGGCGTTACCATCATGAATGTCGACCGACGTAAGTACATGGAACTTTCACCCCTGGTGCACTGTCCTTTTGAGTTACATGTGACATGCCCCTTGTGACGAGATGTCATCTTCCGTGTTATTGGTAGCCAGGTATTCATGATACCTCTGGAATGCTGTTCATTGAGAGTGACAAGGTTGGGCGGACATAACCTAAAAAGCGTTTGAAATGACAAATACTGGAATACACAGCAGTGACAGCTAAAGTACTGATACTAAAATACATTTATAAAAGGAGCATTGCAAAACAACTCAAATATATATGACTAAAAAATGGGTGACAAGTATCTTTAAATATGTTTTGTTTGAAGGAGAAATCCTGATACTGAATTATGGGGGGCAGTCAGTTCATTGAACGACGTTTCATTGACAGTTCGTTTCATCGACAGCTCAGATAAGCTTTTTTTCTGTAGTGACTCCCCGCAGAATGTTGCTGCGAAGCAGCTTGAGTGGATGGGCCCACTGATCTCTACTAAAGGGGGCTGGATGGCGCTTAGCTGCTCTCCGAGCCTGGCGCAAGTGAAGCCACGGGAAGTTTGATTCTTGTCCCGGAAGCTTCCTAGTGCATTCAGTCGATATTTTGGACCATGCTTTTTTGTTTCTTTGATTGGGTTTTAATACTCCCGTTCTGGATTAAATCCCGAGAATGAGGCATTTGAACTTGAGACATATTCACAACTTGATCAACTAGAATCTCAAAATGTTTACATTGAATGGCTTCCCATGATACTTCTCGGGTCCACATGCACTCTTACTGCGCAACAAGCAGGCTCTCTTGAGGGAACAAGCGAAAATCCAGCGCCCTCGACACTTTTCGAACCAGCACTCGGAAGGGTTACAAAGCCTGCCAAGCACTCACTTCCGGGACAAGCCGCTCACCTCCGGTGGCTTCATACTTGTTCGCTAAATGCGCATACATCCAGCCCTCTCTAGTGGAGATCAGTGGGTGGGCCTTGTCGTGAGGATGACGCCAAGCCCTATGCCGTTACATACCCAAGGCGAGTTCCTTTTCCACTGCTCTCACAAGTGGAGAATGAATTGGAAAGGATGAATGAAATGGGAGTCATCAAGAAGGTGGAAAAAGCAACGGAGTGGTCCGGCATCCTGCGGTACAGTGACATGGCCAGCAGCCCAACCAAGGTCCTACATTGTAAGCACATCGACAGGACTAACACGACGCACCGGGACTCACATGCAGCCAACAGCGGTCACTAGGAGCGAATGACCAAGCAGACCACCGGACAGGTTGGACTTCTCGGCTCCCTAATCCTAAGAAAGGGGGGTGTCGTGAGTGGCATTGCGAGCGACCGCCGACTGCAGCGCCGCGACGCACCTACGCGCGGAGTACTCTCGCTCCGGGAGGCCAGCGGACGGGGGAGAACGGCGCAACCATGCGAGGACATGGCTGTATGTCGCGACTACACGTATTGCCTTTAACCCGCAATAAACTGTTCTTGTTATACCCAAACAACGGCTACGACAGGCCTGGTGTGTTAATATTTCTGTAGTGAGCCGCCACAGACGGTCGCTGCAAATGACGTAGACGGGGGGGCCGGGTAAGTTAATGCATGCCCCAGCGACACACACAACGAAACATCACAACATCGTACAGTTAGCGTAACGATTGTCGATGGCATGTCAGTGTCGACCAGGGGCGGATTTAGAGGGGGGTTCCGGATGTCCTGACCCCCCTCTTGATTTCTGCTTGTGTAAATTTTAGGGCAACGAAGGAGAGGGGGAGGGGGTCCCTAAACATATGGTACGCTGACCGACACCTGACCCCCCCCTCAGGAAATTCCTGCATCCGCCCCTGGTGTCGACGAAATGTATGTCAATATGTCGTTTGATTAAAAGTTGTCGACGAGATGTCTGTCGATGAAACAAAACAGATCCCAAAATGTAGGTTGCTACAGTAGCGGGGTTTGCTATAAAATGAAGCAAAAAATTATAGTCTGGGTGTAGCAAGCTTCATATTTTGTCACAGGTGTATTGCAGTGGTGGATGTTATTATGTGAAAGTTAAAGGCACTAATTTGTTTGTGCGAAAAATCGGAAGAATATATGCAAGATTTTCAGTTATGAATGCTGATGTTGACAGCCGAGGGTTGTGTTTCGTTCTCATGTTGAGAGATGGCAGAGCACATCACGGAAAGTAGACCGCACTGTTGAGCAACGGGTCTACGGCAGGGTGTCTCGACCCCAATTGCGTTTTTCTGTTGTGGCTTTCATGTCTGCGTGCATGGCTATAATGTCACGAATAACAAATGGTGAGGCGGCGAATAACTGAAGAAACTAAACGTTTAATGGGGCGAACTTGTGCCCAAAACAAAATAGAGAAAGGCTAGCGTCGCAGGCGTCAAAACAGCAGGATTGAGCGCTGGGAAGAGTCTGACTTCGCTCGCCATGCGGAGTCCCTTTTGTAGCTGCGTGGGTCTCTGGAACATTCGGCCTAGACATTTCGGTGCGTAGATTATTCGTAGCTCGGCCAGACAAGCAATTTCTCGAATTTGCGAGAACGCCAAGTAGAAAGAATAAATAAAAGAACATTCTGCTGCCTGGAATCAAACCCAAATCTTCTGCGCTACAATCAAGTGCAGTAACCATTTGGCCACGTACGCGCTCGCTCAGCGACGTGCGGGAAAATATTAGAAGAAAGCTGTGTTACAGCAAGATTATCTTCAGCCTCGTCGGACTCGCCATCACGGGTTTTTCTAATTGCAGCACGTTGCTCCATCTCCCAACAGAAGCACCAAACATTGCTTTCGGCCATCTGCGTCCTGACACAGGTTGCTAATGCCTTGCAAAAACAAAGCTGCACCTTTCGATTCTACAAGGTAACACCCATCACTAATGTAGTTTGACAGAACCTTCAAGCTTGCCTTGTGCAGGTGCCACTCTTTCCAGAGAATTCTACAGCTAGCTCCGCTATTGGTATCACGTTATACATACTTTGAGATATTGTAAATGTCGTCTTCTGTGTTATTGACAACCAGGTATTAACGATATCAAGAAAGATCACTCCAGCCATGTATATTACTTTTTACATATAGTATGCAAGCAACACAGACCAAAAGAACAATTGCTAAACTCACTTGCATTTGTGGATGAGCTTTTCAAGTGATGTTCAATCAGTTAGCACCTGTCGATTTGGGCGGAGGGCCGTGGAGCATTATGTTAGCGGCTGTAAATATGCTCTCGACAGGTGCCGATAAAAATGGTGTTCTGTGGTTTATTTGTCTTCTAATCTTTGTCCATGCTTTACGCATTGCTTCTTTTACTATGGTCAACCAGCTTGCACAATTGTTAATGCCAACTTCATCTCCACATCAGTTTTTGGTACTCCTAAATTATCTTGAGGTGCCTCCATGCTCTGATTTGGTGAGGTCGCCTTTTCAGTAATGATCTAGTGACGTCACAATGGAAGGAATCGCTGTTCTCTTATCTATTGATAGTATTTGAAAGCATAAACTGTGCTCCCATCCATCGATATGGCACGAAAGTGCAGAGCACACCTGTAAAGCTTGTGCTTGCAGTGCCTTAGATGTTCAGAATCTAGATGAAGTTTCAAGGAAAACATTTGTTATTCTTTTAAAATAGAAAATAGCATCGCCTGTTGATTAATCTTATAATGCTTTACATTTTTTAAGCAGACCTTATACGAAACAGTTTCTTTTATTTATTATTCCATCATAAAGATAATTCACACTGTTTTTATTCACTGACCTTGTTGCAAACCTTGCAAAAGGCACAAAGCAGTACATGATGAGGTGCACTCGTCATAAACCACAAAATGGCACATAACTCACGGCAAGCTGAGCTTATCATAAGCCGTTAAGAGGTTACATGATCAATTAATTATACCCTGAGGGTCCTCATGGACAAAGACAAAATGCTCTGATCAGATCCTGGTCCGCAAGGTACCAAAGCCTCGGTGGCCTCTTCACAACAATCTCCATCCATCTAAAGCAAAAAAAAAAAAAGGCTTTATTTTTTGTTTCTAGTTTATTGATTAATTGAAAATATTAAGGAGCTACATTGGGTTTTGATTGTATTTTTATACCACAAACACACCCAAAATGAATTTTACTTAGTAAATATAAATAACCTATAACTAGGCCGTATATCCCCCGGTGTTTGTTTATGAGAAGAATCGGTGGATGTTTTTCATTGTTCATTTATTTTTCAAAAAAAGACCCAACCCTGGTCTTTCGACCAGGGTTGGGTCAAAATACTTAATGTACTTGGAAATACAAATGCTGGGATACATAAAAATAGCTAAAATAGTGATACTAAAATATATATGTAAAAATGTATTGTGATATGCATCGGAAATACATTTTAACAAGGAACAAAACATATTTGTAAATACAAATGCAGGAATACCTCTTAGGGATGGCAGAAATACAGATATTGAAATACATTTTTCCAATTTGCTTGAGGTGCCAACTGTCATATCATAGGCAACAATTTAGTTGGGAGGTGCAATAAAAATCATTCTTGCTTTGTCTGTTATTTTACACTGAAGCGATACAAAAGAAAAACATGCAAGTGCTAGACTCAGTTACACTTGAGGAGCAGGAGCTTCTCAAATAGCCCACCTGTGAGCCGTTGCCCATTCAAACGCAACGTCATGTTGGCAAAAGAAAAAAAAAATAGCTGCTCAACAGTTGTTGAGGAATACAGGTTCATATTAAATCAAAGAAACATTGCTCTCACGGCTGGAAACCACATTTTTTCATTAAGAAATGTGCCACTCACAGCACATTTCTTATCTTCGCAGAATAGAGAAGAGGTCGCATAGACAAATATTTCTGGGAATTGGAATGAACCTTGGTCAGCATAATAACAATGCCCCAGCGTCCCCTTAAAAAAAAAAAAAAAAAACGTCCAGACTTTTTTGTTGGGGGGGGGGGGGGGGGGGGGGCAGAAGCATGGTGGAAAACATTCTTCAGTTTTGCAGAATAAAGAAAGGGGTTGCTAAGATCCGACACAAATAGTTCCGGTCAAACCTAGGTTCGCATGATAGCAAAGGCACAGCATACCCCTCATAACGTCCTTTGGCCTTCTCTAGCAAAACAAAAAAGTTGTCATCTTTTTTATACAGAGGTGGGGGTTATTTCTCAAGAAATGTAACGAAATACATCCCATCTTGATTGTATTGCGGTACCGAGAAACATCCCAAATGCATTTCGATACAGATACTGGTGAAAAAAAAAAGTTGCAATACAGAACTGCAGACACTAAATGGATTTCTGAAATACTATTGCAATACATTTGTATTGCGATACTGCACAACCCTGCTTTCGACTTGTTGTCTGATGTAGACGCTAAAACAGAGATGATCGGTGAAAAAAAAATTGGTTTGGGACAAGTTGCTTCCTTATCTGCCGTCCTCTGACATGAATCAACAAGGGCGTTGTGACTGTTGGTAGTAACCGTCTGACTGACCTCTCGGGCCCTTGTCCTCCAAGGTCAGCGATCCCACTGATTGGAGACCCCAATTTGCTTAATTCTTGGTAGCAAAACAGGCTCAGCAAATGCCTAGAATTCGGGGATTTCAACCAAAATAGTAATCGCCTAGCGCCAAATCGTCCCCAAAAACTGTTTTTCTGTTATAACCGATTTTGCATTTTCGTCATCGGCGGATGTTTCTCAGTATTTTTAGGTTAAAACTGGAAAGTCACAACCTACCGATAACTTGGATTCTGTGTTTTCTGGGCATTTTTTTTTTTCTCGAATTGTTTTTTTTTTTTTTTTGGGGGGGGGGGGGTAATGTTTTGTGCAGATTCGTTTTTTTTTTGTGTGTAAATTGGTTATGACTTCAACCAATTTACACAAAAACACAGAATGTGTGGGAAAAATTAAACGCCGAAAAAGAAATACCCCCAAATTTGAGCAAAAAAAATTAACTTTGAAAACAGTGAACAAGATCAGCGTTTTCGGTTTTTATTTTTTTTTCGAATTCGGCATACATTTATCGGTTTTTATTTCGAAATCCAATATTTGGTTTTTATCAGTTAATATACACCAGAAAATTTATCTTTTTTCTTTTTCAGTGAAATGTATTCTATTACACCTGTTCTTTTATAGGCACTCAGCGATGGATACAGTTGTAGACAGTAAGTTCCTTGAAAGTTTGAAAATCCAAAAAATAGGTAATTATGTCAGGAATATAACAAGGTAGATTAAAAAAGAGTATACCATTTGTGAAAGTAACATGTATAGAAGGCAGTTTTAAACTCTGACAGAGTTTGAAACTGCCTCTATGCATTGGGAAGTTCTGAAACATTTTTGATAAGAAACTATCCAAATCACTTCTTAAAATCACAGTCAACTCGGCACACGAGAACCGGTCCCGAAGGAAAACAGAAATTTAACTCGGAAGGCGAGCCCAAGTACTGCACCTTAATGTCTGTGTTTACAGTTAGATCCTCCCCTGACTAAACGAAGGTGGACCCCAATAATGAGCAACCAGCCCCATAAAACATTTGCAATGAGTTAACAACCCCCACCCCCTGCATGCACACACCCACACACAAAAAAATAGCTGCACAATTAGGTCTAAAATACTGACCCCTACCTAAACCTATAATGTTTATTGACTGCTTCCAAGTTAGACACGGGTGTCCTGTGTGGTTCCAAGGAGAAGGAGTGGTCACAACCCAGCTTTGTTTTATGCTATTAATTAATTCATTCGCTGATGTTTCAGCACCTGTTCCTCAACCGAGGCAACATTGTCAACCTCGACAAGCTGGCTACCGACCAGTACAACGTGTGCCGTGTCCGCGGCATCCAGCGCCTTGCATTTGCGCTCGGCAAGGCACTCGCAAAACTTTATGGTAATTCTATCCTTGGTGGGTGGTGTGCCCCATTCTGACGTTTCAAAGTCCACAGGTGGAGCCTGTGGCCAGTGGGGAGGTGTATGTCTCCAATTTGCCGGACCCTAGCGCTAGCTAAGTTACCGCCGAATTCACAAACCTCATTCTAATTGAGGCGCCCCTCCACTTCCTCAAAGAAGGTGCGAGGGCCGGTGCTGGCCAGTCGCGACGACGGATAGGCGGCCTAGGCTGTTTAGCCGTCCTCGCAATTGGCCAGTGCCGTCCCTTGTGCCTTCCTTGAAGAAGTGTGGGGGGGGGGGGGGGGGGGTGCCTCCATTGGAATAAAGGTTTGTGAATTCGGCAGTTAGTGTCCCTTTTCCCCTATGTGCAATCCCAGCCAATATGAGCTAGAATGAAGAGCTTTCCTACAAGAACCTTTCTGATGCATTAATTCAGTTTGTTTATTTCTAAAGAGCATCTCAGTGCCTGCATTTTGTTGTGTCATAATGCTCTACTGTAAAATCTCAAAAGGTAGCCCACTCCTATTTTTGGCTTGATTTGCTTTATTTTTTTAAACTCTGAAAGATAGCCCACTTCTAGTAATAGTAGTGTTGGGATCAGTGATGGCCTTGGCACAAATGCAGCTAGTTAGCTGTGGCGGGATACAAGTGAATGTTGCTGACTGGGAAGTACATACCTCGGGATTTTGTGGTATATGCCAAATAGCTTTAGAAATAAAGGGATCTGCAGAGATGCTTGAAACATCATCACTTTTCTCATGGTAAGGAACGAATTCAGGGCCATAGAAGGGCTGCAACAAATTGTGTAGTTGGGCTAGTTGGTTGGTCATTTTGAAATGGTATCTATCTGCTTCCTTTTATGTTTACTTACTGTACCATGCAGAAGAAAAATTTTCAGTTGTGAGCGCTGTGTCTGTGTTCTCTTCGTATTTTTTTTTTTTTTGCTGTTTTATTACCATTTCAACTATAGGGGGCAGGGATGGCGCCAGGATCTTCATAATGGGGGGGGGGGGGGGGGGCAGTGGGGAGGCCAACCAAATTGGGGGGTTGCTCTGAGGTGCCGTCGCCCATGGGCTTATCGAAGATAGCTTATAGCTTATGCAGTGTGCTCATTGAAGAGGGAAATGAGGAGACACGAGAAGGAAGAGGCGGGGGGGGGGGGGGGGGGGGGGGTTATTACAGCATTGACCTCTGCCCCCTGTGCTCATGACTCACAACCAGGTTTTGCTTCTTTTTCTTAGACAGTCCGGAATTCCTCATGACCTCGACTTTAACTAAGCTCCCCTTCGTTCACGTCTTCGGTCTCCGCTGAAGATAAGCGCCACACAGCAGAATGCGGAGAGAAAAGCCAGCAGGCGTCACAAAGGGGAGCTGCTTTTTCTAAGGCGCTAGATAGCTTACTCGCCCACGGTACGACTTGCAGTGGCTGAAGTTAATAGAAAAAAAAATAATAATAATAAAAGGTATGAACGGCTCTAAAGTCTGGACACTCGTTACATTGGGTTTTCAAGCCGACGTCATAAGCCATTATTTGTGTACAAAGCGGCTTCATCTTGAGGTGGCAGAAGAAATTTTAGGGGAGGCGCCCGCCACCCCTCGCCTTCCCTTGGCGATGTCCCTGATAGGGAAGCTTGCACACCATTGGTTGGGTAGCTTGCGAACCATGTCTCTGAGTGTCATTGTTGATGTGCACTTTTTCCTATAAGAAGAAACAAAGTCAATCAAAGCATCAAGCGAAAAGATCAGTGCCTAATTATGAATGCTACAAACAGAATATTTGGAAGCCTTTTTCAGCTTAGGTCATTCTAGATGGTTCAGTTTTATTTTCTTAAAAATTGCTTTGAGAAGCTCTTTACAGACTGGTGCAGATTACATACCCGGGGTTCCCAAACCGGGTTCCATAGGCTGATCTTTTGGATTCCGCAAGCACCCAAATATATATTTCATTTTTTTTATGGGAAAGTGAGGAACTGTATATTTGTACTCAAATGCTATGTATACCATGAAATACCGAGCATCTGCCGATTCCACACTAAGCGCCCACCCCTGAATGTTGTAACATCTAAAAAAATATGGACAGTGGAAATATAGATAACATTGATAGCATATCAAGTGCCCATCTCCCACTTTTTTGCGATGATCTCCGGATTTGTAGAGGGTGCTGAGCGTTACTTTACGACATATTTTAGGGTTGTACAAATATTCTAAAAATTCAGAATATTGAAGCGAATGACGCCATATTCTACTCGCACTTTGAATTGGTGAGGAGTATTCGGCAACTTTAAATATTTTCAAAGTATTTCTTCACCGCTATACACCGCCGCAACGCACCGGTGTATAGCGGTGAAGCGTGATGCATGCATGGCGGAGCAAAGCACCGAAACTTTCGTGAGCACGATGGTGCGAAGCATGACGTGCTTGGTGCAGCACCTTTTGAAGATTGCTAGGATTCCTTGTCACCAGAAAGTTTGAGAACACTTGTTTGTAAAGATTGAGTCAAGGTACCGGATAATGCATTAAAATCAAACGGAACAATTGGCGCCTGCATGTAACAGGCCAGCATTTCACCATATTCCTTTTCTCGCTTCAGGGGCAAGCCCAGATTACCCATATTTAACTGCTCATATGAATAGGGCCCTCTGTGAGGGGATCCCCCCCTGACAGGGGGCGTGTTCCAAACCTTACTCGACTGGATCCCAGCTACTCCTGCGGGTCATATCACGTGACATTTCAAGCTGAGCAACGCTGGATGCAAAAAGGTTTTCGAACACCAAGGTATGAAAATGTTACTCTAAAGTGAGATTGGGTAAATTTCGGAACACGGCCAGGTTGATCACAACCGCTGGCCATTGCTGAATCAAAAGCAGCTGGCATTGGCACGAGAGCGCTCGACACAGAATGCTCAGAGTGGTCTGTGTTAACCATTGCGTACAGCGTATATAAATTTTTTTTCTGCGTCTACCCTTCGCCGGAACATTCTGCAGGCTTGATTTGAAACGGATTGATACGGTATTCATGCCCATGCGACTCCAAGACACGTGGTGGTCAGCCCGAGCGGATGCTATGAAGCTCTGTTCGCTCAGGAAATTAGGGTCGCCTTGAGGGTCTGAAGGTTAGGAAGAACTAGCAGAGACATGGGTTATGGTTGAAGACTACGGGTATGACTGCAACAGTTGTAGCTTAGTTCATGAACAGGGTGTTGCAATGCTTCAATGCCATCAGAAGAACGCTACATAATCAGACGCTCACATTGAATGAAGCTGTAAACCTGACGAAATTATTGAGTGATTATGTATCCGGTCTAAGAGAAAGATTCAGTGAAATGAAACAGGCAGCGAAGGAAACATTGGGAACTACATACAAAGCAACAATCAAAAGAAAGCAAACCGATCGGCACAAATGGCAACCTTCACCCTCAAGATGCCTCACTGAACTTCCACTGTGATACCAATATTGGCATGATTGACAACCTTCTGCATTCACTTAAAACTTGTTTCACTGCTTACAGCAAAGTCTGCCTACGGTTTACTTTTTATTGCTGACCACGGCACACTTTCGTTGAAACAGTGGTGATTCCAGGCAATGGATAAATCTGGTCTGTCGGACGATTTCCCCGATGAACTAGAACAGTTTCTTTTATTTGCCAAAAAGGAAGGCTTCTGTAAGAAACATTCCAGGTCTGAGAAAAGCTTCGAGGCTCATTTCTAGGTGTTCATGTACCCATTTTAGATTTTTATTTTGTTATGGTTGCAAACTTCAGGGGTGAACACTCTCTCAGTAGGCCCAAATTGACATAACACAGACTTCGATCAATGATGGCCAATGACCGCCTCAGTGAATTGTCCTTGCGGAGTGTGCAGATGGCTAGTCTCCATCGGGTCAAAGTCGAAAAGTTTATAATCGCGATTTGAACAAAAGACCCCGGAAGATCCTGTGAAATGTAGACATGATACCAGCTTCCTTGTAAATTGTAAATAATGCTGAAGACTACGGTTGTGCAAATATTCATAACTTTTAAATATTGAATAGAATAATGCCGTATTCGATTCATACTTTGAATCGAATAGGATTATTCGTTAATTTTGAATATTTTCGAAGTCTGAAAATAGGTCTGCAAAATGTTGAGCCCCCCCCCCCCCCCCCCCCTACAAAAATTAAGATGCTTTGCCGTAGTGCTGTAGTGTTAAAGTATGAAGCTTCATGCAAGCATGTCGGGCGAAGCGGTGGAGCTTTGTGCGAGCGTGCAACTGCAAAGCAAAGAAACTTGGCATCCCCGACCGAGCTCGAGGGCTACAGAGTGGAGGCATACTTGGTTGATATGATAACCTTATGTTATATTGTCTAAAGGAAACTGGCTTTGTAGTATCACAAGCCGCCGTCCTGCCATTTTACGAAGTATCTCCTCACAACCTTTTAGCTTGTTCTCAACTGGTGTCAGCTGCTTGTGCAAGCTGATGAAGCATTTGGAGAAGATAACTATTTCGGTAGTTGGGACGATGACATGGCAAGCCCAGTTGAAAATGTAATGGGATACATTATTCCCTTGAATGTATTGCGAGACCAGGAATATATTTTTACGTGTATTTCGATGCTGAAATACAAGTACTGACCCAAAATCTGGTGTCCTGTATATTGTTACAAAGGGAATGGAAGACCTACATATTATAGGTAATCTGGGCTCGTGTTGCTGTACCGGTTCCTTGACCACCGCTATGGTTCTCTCTAAAAGTAGACCGAGGCAGTTGTTTTCAGTCCCCAGATATCAAGTAGAGTCACTGCCCGCACTTTGATGGTCTCACGCAGTTCATTCATGAGCGTGCATTGTTACCATTTGAGACAACACCATCAATTTTCTGGCAATGAAATGAATTCGCTAGCATTCATCTTGCCATTGCAGATCCTTCAAGTGTAACTAGTCCCCCATAATGAGCTGAAGTAGGGTGGTAGATTGGGCTAGTTGGTAAGAGCGAAACTAATCATGATGGAAAACAGCGTCTGCTACAAAACGAAGTGAAAAAAAAAAAAAAAAAATCTTTATTCATAAATTGGAGTTTAGCACTGCCACATTGTAAGGCTCTATCCCTGTGATTGCCAGCTGCCTGGTTGGCATGCGTGTTTGTGTTAATGTAATAAGACTAAAATGCTTCCTTTTCATAAAATAAACTACACTTGAAGGTCATCCGTTGTTTTGTCGTGTTAGTGCCTTTACTTCATCCTTGTGTCTGAGGCTGCTTTCCATTATTTTTATCCCATAATAATCATTTTTAACTGACCCTGTGTGCCTTTCTGGCCACAGACAAGCCACCCCCACAACCAGTACCTTAACAGTGCATATTTACTGTATTGTCGGAAGGGGTGTTTGGACAGGACATTTTCACCTGTGCAAATGCCAGCGAGCACCTTTCCCTGCAATACAGCGGTGTCTTTCGGTGAAGCAAACCTATGCTGATCTGCGAGAGTATGAGAGTGTGCTTCATTGCGAAGTCATTAAGCTCTCAATTTAACTTAAAAAAATGGCAATATATATACTCAAATGATCAAGCTATCTACGTTGCGAAAATAATTTTAACTATGCTAAACGTATTTTTGTTTCGAAACCGGGGAACCAGCGCACGGTAACGAGAGTATGTTTACAAACGTCCCGGCGCCATGTTGTAACGATTCACCGTGTTTCCTTGCGTTCAAAGTCTTGATGACGCCTTTCCCCGCTGTTATCTTCGTCGTCGCACCTACAGCCCTCAGAGATGGTAAGTAGACCCGTGTCCCGCGAATGCAGTAAGCATGTGTAACATCTACATGTGTGTAGGCGTTGTAAAAGAACATCTACACCGTCGTATGGAACTACTACTTTCAAGAAGCCGAATTGGGCATTCCACGCGTACAGGCCTCGGAGCTTGTGCGAGGAACATGGTTATTCGAAACGTTAAATTAAAACTGAAGATAGTGAAGATCTCTTACCTCAATTCGGCTACGTGAAAGTGCTTCGCTTATCACGTTACGATATTGAGCTACTATCCGGTCGTAGCTACCAAGTGCGGGAGGTGCGCCGAGATTTTCTAACCGAGTTGGGCGCCTATTAGGACGCAGACGAGTGGGATATGATCACTGTTCTTTTTCAGTTACTTAGGTATGACGGGTGACAGGCGTTTAAGCGTTCCGACACGTTAATACCGGTGCTCAGGTTCCCGGTACCTACCGTGTTTTCAACCTGATTGACGCGCGAGACGTAGCAATACTTTTAACGCTGTGTCTAAAGCTACGTGTCGGACGTACCCGGAACGAGGAGTCTAAAGGTACTATCGGGGAAAAATGAAATGCGAACAGAGGAGTGCGTGGCTCGCGGTACAGGCTGCGCCGCCTGGAAGTGAGCCTAGGAGCGAGGGTGCGTGGCCTACCTCGACGTGTTCACGCCTCTCCCTCTGCGCTCCCCAAGCTTCAGCAGTGCGCCTCTTCGTGCGCTGAAAGCTATCACCACTATCTTTGCTGGCTCAGCGCGTGCGGTGCAAAGAAGCTCGCCGCACTCACCGAGCAGACAAAGATAGCCGTGACAGCTTCCAGCGCACCGAGAGGCGCACTGC